CAAGGATGCAAGAAAAAAGAACCCTCCTACATTGTTGGTGGAATGTAAACTAGTACAACCACTATAAAAAATCAGTATGGAGTTTCCTTAAAAAACTGGACATAGAAATACCATTTGATCCATCTATGCCACTCCTGGGTATATTCTCTAAAGAATTAAATAATGTATACTTTAGTGATACATGTATATCCATGTTTATAGCAGCACAATTGACAACAGCTAAGCTGTGAGAACAGCCTAAATGCCCCACAGATTAATGGATAAAGACAATGTGGTATATATATACTCAAAGGAATATTACTTGGCCATAAAGAAAAATGAAATTTTATTATTTCCAGGAAGATGAATGGAACTAGAAACTATCATGGTAAGTGAAATTAACCAGACTCAAAATGTTAAATACTACATGTTATCTCTTATATAAGAAACCAAATAAATAGATAGGAGATGACAGGAAGCTTGAAGGTAGACTTTTGGAGAGAGGGAAAGGGATCAGTGGGAGCAGGTTAATGGGATTGGAAATGATCAAGATATATTAATGTATTTACCAACTTCCCGAAGCAAACCCCACCATTCTGTAATGTTAACATGCATGCACTAAGAAAAAAATATGTCAGTGTCATAGTTACATTTCTCATTACTGGCACAAAATACCCAACACCTACAAGTTAAAGGAGGAAAAGTTTATTTTAGCTAACAGTCTGTAAAGGTTTCAGTCCATAGTCAGCTGGCTCCAAGGCAGGGCAGCATGACAGAGGAGAAACAGCCCATGGCAGGGTAGGCAGGAGGCAGCAAGCAGCTAGCCTCCCTTTCCCTTTATATTCCGTCCAGGTTACAAGCCTATTTGCTGGTGCCACCTATTCCCAGGGTGGGGCTTCTGTCTTCAGAAAATCCATTCAGCCACACCCAGAACTATGCTAAACCAATTGGTAGATTAATCCAGCATCACACCCATGATTCAGCCACCTCCCAAAAGCCCCACTTATGAGTGCATGAGGCTTTAGGAATATCTAGATACAACCCATAACAGATAATGATTGCAAGGACAGATGACCTCTCATTTTGTCAAAAGATGACATTTAGGAATAAAATGGTAGAACACCTGACAGACAGAGTTATGGGAATACTCCAAGTGGATCTTGAGATACCCTTAGTCTGAGCCTCTCTATTCTCCTGATCAGAGTACTAGGGAGGAGATCTCTCCTTCAGAGGTTGTTCAATTATCATGCGAATAACTCTCCTAGCTCCACTTTTTGGGCTCTTCTTTCAGAATTCTCTTCCCTCTCCTGTGTTACCTCTTTGGCCCTGTCATGACAGACAGGCTTACCCAGACATCTCTTCATCCCTTCTGAGATACAAGTTATGAGATGCTCCACCCCTAACCTATGAGCAAAGCTTTTAGGATTTCAGGGGTCTGTAGAGTACACTTTGTCCTCCTTGGGTTTCTGGATACTATGATCCAGGGAATTAGCTCACAGCCCATCAGTTTCTTCAGAATAAGCTACTTCTCATCAGGAATGCAATAATGAGTTAATACTACAATCATATCCCTCCATTTAAGGACAAAAGATAGGCTTGAAGTAGAAGATTAGGGCATGGCAACATGGCTGGAGCAACTGGGCACAAGGGGCCAATTGCAAAGACTTGTTAACCACAGATGAAAAGCAGCAGCTCCTGAGCCTGACATGAGATCAAGCCGAGCCCTGCACCAGTACCAATCTTCTGGCATGAGAACATGCTGAACCTGGCACCTGATATCAATCTTCTGACGTGAGACTAAGCCAAGCCTAGCATCTGATGCCAATCTTCTAGTGTGTGATAAAGTGGGACCACCTGGATCAACTATCAAACAGGATATAAAAAGACAGCAATAATTGACTTCATGACACTGCCCTCTTTTTCTTGCAGTGGTTTACTCTGCTTGCAGGATGTCTCTTTTTCCTTCAAAGCACCCTTTTCTCCTTGAGCACTTCTTTTGGGATTCTTTTCCTTTTTTTTTTTTTTTTTTTTTTCTTATTTCTGGCCTAAAATAAACAGTAACCTTTCACATCCACCACTTGTCCTGACCAATTCATTGAATGGGACAATAAGAACCTAGAAAACACTGCAGGTCCCCACTCCACCCAAATACAGGCTCAGATTAATGAACTCATCCTTAAATCTATCAGGATTCTCTGAAAAACTATCAAATCTTTCTTTACACTGAGCTATGTCTGTCACTGAAAAAGGAACATGTACTTTAATAATCTCATCATCCCTGCTTGACACCTCCTGTAATGGGAACGGAATCTCCTGAGTAAGGTAGGGTGTTAGCTTCCAGATCTTAATCCAGTTGGAGATAGGATTGGTGGAACAGATGACTACCGGAGGGCTAGAGGCAAAGAGGCCTCTGGCTTGGGTGAGAAAGAGGTAATGGAGGAGGAGCTGTCAGATTACTGAAAAGACAGAATGGCCCTGCACCAGGTGCTGTAGGGGAAGTGTGTATTACCACCAGTGGGGTGCCAACTGGAAGCAGGGCTCTGTTTAGATGTCTGTGTCAGGTTCTGTGTGCTTAGGGGATTTAGAGACCATAGCCACACAAACCTGTCCAGAGTTCCCAAATCTAGGGTCTTGGTACAGCTTCGTGGAAGCTATGTAGGGGATTTCTCACCACTTTTCCTCCCTTTTTAGAATAAAAATATCTGGAGAATGGTGTTATAATTCAGAGACCCATTTCTGACTATTGTTCTTGATCCCACAATTTATACTGAAGCCAGACTATATTACAAAAGAAAATTACCTTGCTTTCTTTAAACATTTTTCCATAAACTTGCCCCATTTAGCTAAAAGGTGTCCTAACAGTGAGTCCATTGGAATAGCTATATTATGGTAGGACTTTTATCAGAAAGAGGGATTGCAAAATTTAGCATTAAAAAAGACCCTAGACTTGCTAAGCTTGCTACCTGTCTTTGGCCACTGTCTGTGATAAGAGAATTATAGTAATCAAATACCAAAGAGAAAAGTTTTTCCCCTCAATGCCTTTAGGAAAGACAGTTAACAGACTGAATCAGAAGAATAGCACCCCAAATAAACCTTGGTATCAATATTTTCCCAGACAAGAAATAATCCAAAAAGCTACAGATGCAAATCATCAGCACAGACACAACAGTTACAGCAATACAGAGTACAGAGCTGCAAGAGTTAAACACAAAGAAATTTGAGGAATTCAGACCCATGTCCAACAGAAAATCTATTTCCAATAGGCAAAGAAAAATTTCCTTCAAGCCAACAAACCAACAGGGCCCAAGATTCAATTCCTGATTTGTTTCAAGTCCTACGGGAATTCCTTCTTACAACAATTACTCTCAACTCCCCCAGAAGGTAAGTTCCTCAGAAGGCATAACTATGAGACTGATCGTATTCCTATTAGCAAATAGGCACATGAGGGGAGAACCTTTTGAAAGGCTGCAAGTCCTTAACTGAGAGACAGAAGATGTCTCTCAAGAAAAAAGAGGCAAAGACACTGAAATTTCATGATTTCAAAGCTACTTCACAGAATGCAATACCCCTAGTTTACATAGGGGGCCAGTTACTCAACACCAATTCTGACAGATTTTAGGTCCCCTTTGAATAAAAGAAGGAAGTATTTGTTCACAAAGACACATGTGCCAAACCAAGCCACAGTATCACCAGAGCAAGTGGGGCTTTATTTTGACTTGTATTGCAACACAGGAGGGTTAGGACTCCAGAAGGAGCACACCTTAGGAAGTGCTGCTTATATAGAGCACCATCAGCCTGCATCTCTAGTTTTGAACATTTCCTGGACCCACTTGAGAACTTTCAAAGGAATCATCTGGAATTTGTCTGAGTTTCAAAAGCCTTCTGAGGCCAAGACAGGCATCTTCTATAGTGGCTGGGGGTTCCTCTGTGAAAATGAGTGTGTAATGCTTTTGAGAAGCCTTTAGGAAAGTTGGCTGTATTAATCACAAACTATTGGAATTTAGGGACTTCAGGGATATTAACATGAGCCCCAGTCCCTCCCCAGTCTTTGCTCTGTCAGCCTTCTGCTGCTCCTTGAGAGAGGAAGCAGCAGTACTTGGGATGGCAGGAGCCAAGGAAGGGCTTCTCTCCTGTTAGCCAAGTCTTAGGTACAGTCATTGCAGCCTGGGGTGTGATCTTTGAAGTACCCCAAGGGGTGCTGGGAAGACCTGGGACTAGTACCCAGGTGATCCCTGAGCAGCCAAGGGGTGCAAAGGGGAGGAGGCTGCCCTATTCTGTCAAAGGGAAATGGGAAAGGCCAGCCCTCCTTTCATTTCTATCTCATTACTATTGTTCATCAGTATTATTGACCAAGACTAATTAAAAGAAAGTTTAATAAATGCACCAAGAAAAATAATGTTTGGTCCAGATTAAAAAATGCACATATCACTATCACTAGTAAAATAACAAACTTCAAAGACCTGAGGATATTCTGTGATCAGTTCTTCAAACCATAGCTGTGACTTAGGTAAAGATGAGTTGAGGCAATTACCTTGGTGTAAAATTTAAGGAGGCAAAAAATAAAAATCAGTATTCAAGGTAGATAATATTCTAGTGCAATATTTTCATCAATCAAAATCAATGCAAAAATCCACTATGAACAAAATTCCAAATTTGTAAATAAAAACAGGAGCAGTGTTAAAAGTTTCCTCTGCCGCAGCACCCAGTATGAGTCTGAAAGACACCCTTACTGACCTTGCTACAGTCTCAGGCTACACCTTCCCACCACCAACCTTTAGCTAAGCATGACAGGATTGTATCTGACAAGGGCCAGCATCCAGCCTGGCCTAGCTACCAAAAGCTGCTTAACATTTTCTGGCATATCAGACCAACTCCAGGCTGGGTAAGTTCTCTCTCTAAGCCTGCTGGACCTTCCCAGAATGCCCTGTAAATCACAGCTGGAATTACTGTCCCCTAAAGCCTGGCCCGAGGTCCTCCCCAGAATGCCCTGCGGCCCTTCCCAGAATGCCCTGCTAACTAGAGCTGGAGCCATTGCCGCCTAACTGATCCAGAAACGTCACCATGGACCTCCCTGAGAACCATGATCACTTCTGGAACTGGAGTGCTATGGGCCTCGGTACTTACAACTGGAAAGATGCACTGATTTTGACTGTGTACCTGGTGCTGGTCTTGTACATTGGCCTACGGGTATGGATGGCCCAGGGTATGGGTGGGAGGATCTGGGACCTGGGGTGGGTTTGACCCCTCCCGGCCCGTACCTGGTCTCCACCTTCCATCCTGGCCTCTTCTGAGGGCTGTGCCACTCAACTCGCTGCTTAGCTACTCACTACCCTCTCGGCCAAGAATCAGTGATACTGGACCATCACCCACACACACATACACATGCCTACTAATCTCCAAATAATCAAGTGGATCAAATGCTCCTATACCCACTGCCTGGAACCTAATGAGTCCTTGTTATGATAACCAAGATGATGATGGTAATCCAACCACACTGTTAATAACAGCCTGCCCTCCCTATTTGGGAGTTCCACATCTGCAGCTTCAACTATTAATATGGAAAATATTTTGAATAAATTGAGTCTGGCAGGCTGTCCCCACTATGGCGTTGGCCGGACTCGATTGGCCAGGCTGTAACGGTCCTCAGTTCCTGAGTGGCTGGAGTGCTCTGAGCTGAGCTCATTGCAAGGCGACGCCACCTCGCGGTGGAGGCAGCGGGGCGGCCCCAAGGTAGACCCTCGTACTCGTGCAGCCTCTGCCTTGGCAGGGCCGGGTGTCGGGCGCCACCGAGGCTGGTCAGGAAGGGGCAGTCATCCCCTTTGCAAGAAGAGATGAGGCCGCAGCAGTGCCAGGCAAGGTGTCGCGAGCAGAGGCTGGGACCTAGTGGTCTTGGCCGCCTCTGCCACCCGACGCCTAGGCGACCCAGGAGAGAGAGAAGGGAGGCCTCCTGGCTCCAACCACCCCGAACTTCAGGCCAGTTCTGATGTAACTGAGGGTTCAATCCCCTGTAGCACAAAGCGAGGAAGGGGAGAGGAGGAGGGAGGGGGAGGGAGGGGAAAGGAGAAGGGGGGGGGAGAAAAAGGAAGAAAGGATTTGGTAAATAAATGTCAATAATGAATGTTTAAGACACGTGTCTGTGGAGCAGTTTGGTTTCTTGTATTCCATTTGGAGTGTTTTTGGTTTTGTTTTAGGCTTTATCAAGAGATCGTTCAACAATAAAAGGCTTCTTCCTAGCTGGCCAAAATCTACCGTGGTGGCTGGTGAGTAAGCCTTGCATATGGCAATCCGCCTGGTGGAGGAGGCTTGTGTTAGCTGGTTTGTTGGTTTCAATGTCTGGTACCCAAATAATTTGAAGTTGCTAAATCCAATTAGTAGTTCCCTTGACTCTTGAGTATTTTCTTATTTAAATGTTTCTATTTGACTGTTTAGTTGACCATTTATTAGGTACTTTTGTTCAACAAGGCATTGTTTTAGGCCTCAGGACATAGAGGAAAATAGACAGCCCTGCTGTATGGAACTGCAGAGTACAGAATTAGAGTGCAGGACCAGAAGCCTATTAGGAAGTGCACAGGACAGGTATGGAGGATAGGTAAACTTGGATTTACTGGATAGAGCACCATAGGAAAGGTCTTATAGAGGTAGGAATGTGTGAGCAGGACTGGCGGTAGCTGTTTTCCAGGTAGGCTAAGTGTGAGGGCATTCCAGGCAGAGGGAACAGCATGTGCCAAAGCACGGAGGTGCAGAGCAGCATGATGCTCCATAGAGAAAGGCAGGATGTTAAAGTAGGAACATTTTTGTTGTTGTTGTTGAATAATTTATTGATTACACAAAGTAATTCTGTACAAGAAGAGTGACGCCAAACCCAAACAATGGAGGCAGCTGGCCATCCACAACCCTCCATCTTGGGATGGGTGCGTCAGGGAGCAAGAAGATATGGGGACTCATGCCAAGCTTGAACCAGGGCCACTTTATAACTTCCTATGTAAAAAATATGCATACATTTCCCACATAGGAATCTAAGATTCATTTAGGAATTGAGCAAAAATCAGGCTCTTATTTAATCATTTATTCTGTCCTCAAATATTAACCAGTCTTATGGAAAGGATTTGGTTTTGTTACCAGGTTGGAGAGTCTTGTCCAGGTTTTTGAATGTCCTAAACAAAACAGGACACCCAAGAGTGAGTTATTTGAAAGAGAAAAAACAAAATATACTTTACAGGGTGGGAGCAGGCCAGTGAGAAGAGCTCACAGCACTGAGGAGATTTGGTGCTGAGGTTTTAAGCCTTACTGTTTGGAGTGGGATTGCAGGTTTGGTCTGAAGTATGTGTATCAGTGAGGGTTCACTAGAGGAACAAATTATATATACATATGTGTGTGTGTGTGTGTATATATATATATACTTTTTTTTTTTTTTTGGTACTGGGGGTCAAACTCGGGATCTTGTGCTTACAAGGCAGGCGGCGGAACCACTGAGCTAAATCCCCAGCCCTACATATATATTTATATATGGTATATGAATGATTCACAAGGTAGGCTTACAATAGCCACCTGAAGTCAAGTGTGGAATAATGCATAAAGGGCATCAGCACACTGTAAAGCCAGAGGATCCAGTCAAAAGAGTCCCATGTGAGTCTGTATCAGGAAGCTGAAGGGTCATGTGTTGGAAGTCTTAAAAATCTGCACTGGAAGCCTGGAGACTGACATCTGAAGGTAATGGTGAAGACTGGAGCTCCTCCTCCAAAGAAGAAGCAAGACTTCCTTCTTTCCCTTTTTATTCCATCCAGGATACAAGCCTATTGGTTGGTGCTACCCACCCAGGGTAGGTCTCACCTCTTCAGTAAATCCACATTCCAGACACACTCAGAACTGTGCTAAACTGATCAACTTGACATTTCTTATTTGACACCACAGTTGACTATCATCGTGTGACTCCAGCCAATGACTGGCTTGACTCAGGCCCTTAGAGGAAATGTAGTGGCATACAAAGACTACAGGGAGATTAAATCTGCAGAGTCAGGACATGGTAATTATGGTTGAGTTGGCCAAGGGTTGCAGAAGACGACTGGGTCTAGGAGGGGGACTTATTGTGTATAAGCTAAATTACCTGGCTACCTGTTTCCATTGTATTTAAATGTGGGCGTCCTGGTCCTGTTTAACTCAGAAAGTGATTTAATCACAGCAAGCAGGCGACATACAAGGTGGACCCTCCCTTTCTATCCAGCTGTTTCATTGGTTACCTTATGCCTAAGATCCAGCCTAGAAAGCAGGCTTCAAGGCAGGTCAGCCTTCTCATCTTCCTTTTTTTTTTTTTTTTTTGTACCGGGGATCAAACTCGGGACCTTGTGCTTGCGAGGCAGGTGGCGGCACCGCTGAGCTAAACCCCCTAGTTTCCCTTCTTTCTGAAGTCTTTTCCTTAGCTACATCCTGCCTCAGTTTTTCACATCAGGTTAATATGTCATAGAGGGAAGTCTTGTTTCAGGTGGAGCAAGTGCCTAGACTCCAAGGTGCTATGCTTTAGATCTAAAATGGCCCCACAACCTCATGTGTTTGGAAGGTGGTTGTATTATGGGGGTACTTTAGCTGATTTGCTGCTAGGAAGTGGGACAGGTTAGAGGCAGGTCACTGGGGTTACGACTTGGAAGGATATAGCTCCCTTCCCTGCTCCTCTCTTCTCTCTCTGCTTTCTGGTCACCATGACATGAGCAGCTTTTCTCTGACCTGGCCCCTCCATCATGCTGTTTCTGCTTTGGAGTCAGCCAAGCATAGACTGTACCCATGAAACAAAATAAACCTCTTCTCCTTTAATTTGTGAGTGTTGGATATTGTGTCTCTGTGATGAGGAAAATGACTAAGACACAAGGAAAAGAGGAAAGCAGAGCCATTAACTCTGTTGGATCAAACAACCTAAAAGAAATAGCCTTGTTTCTGTGATCACAGTTAAACTCTAAATTATGCTTTAATTTTCTTTTTTATAAACTCTGTTTAGGAAGAGATTGGTACAGCAAAGAACCGTTTGCACTGGGCCGTCTACTTAGTTTATTTTTTGGTGAAAGATTCTAGCAACACCATCTTCTCCTTGTCTGTGAAGTCCCCATTTGGTCTGAACCACTCTGCATTAAAGATGTTTTCTGTACCCAAGAAAGCAGAACTCTGCAGCCCATATTTCCTTGTATAACTGTGACAGGACACTTATAACAATTTTCAGAGGACATTAATATGGTTTCACCTCTCAATGTTTGCATGTATTTTGATTTGTCAATTTTTTCAGTAGTAGAATTATTGCTTAATGAATAAAATATATTATGGTGTTATTAAAGAAAACTGGAATTTAAGGGTAAGTTTACCACTTTCTCTTCTCTTATATTTTTCATTCAATCAGCAAATAGCTAATGAGTTCCAGTGGCTACTGTCAGGGGCCCCAGTAACCACTCACACCACCTATTCTTGCGGTCTGTTCTCAGTCATCTTACCCAGCCTAAAGAGGCCTCTGAAATCATCAGTTCTTTGTCCTTTCCCATCTGATCAGCTGGCTCCCAGGCTGTCATCCCCCTTCATTTTCTTTTTTTCTTTTCTTTTCTTTTTTTTGCTAACAGGGATCGAACTCGGGACCTTCCACTTGCGAGGTAGGTGGCGGCACCACTGAGCTAAATCCCGCCCCGCCCCACCCCCGTCATTTTCTTTGTGTTATAAGCCCCTGCTCAGACACACTTGCTGCCTCTTCCATGTCTCCCCAGCTTCTTGGTCCCTGCTAAGAGGGCCCCAGGTTCCCTTAGGCCTGCTGAGTCCTTACTTTCTGACCACTGCTCTCCAATTGTACAATTGGCAATCTCATCTAGTTTCATGGTTTTAAATATCAGTCACACACTACCAAATCCTAATTATATATCCCTAGTCCACTTCTCTCCCTTCAACTCCAGACTAATGTTCTCCAGCTGCCTATGTGACACCTTCACTTAAAAGACCTATCCAGGATTTCACACTGAGCTTGCCCCAAAGGGAACCTTGGATTTTCCTCTGCAAATCTCCCTCCTTCCTTATCTCATTGATAGCACTTCAAATATTCCAGTTGGTGGAGTTGGAAAACTTGATGTCATCTTAAGCCTTTCTTTTTCTTTCAAATATAATATACAATCCATCAGGAAATCTTGTGATTCAATCTAAAAAGTTTATCTGGTGTCTGACAACTTCTCAACCACTTTGTTTCCAGCTCCATGCTATCATCATCTCTAGACTGATTAATTATACTATCCTCTTCTTTGAGCTCCCTCCTTTCACATTTGCTCCTCTATATCTAGTCTCAACAAAGCAGCTAACGGGAGTCTGTCAAAACTCAAATCGGATGAGAACATTTCTCTGCTTAGAATGTCCGGGGTTCCTATCTTATGCAGAATCAAGGCTCGGCAGTTAAAAAAATCCTTACATTAGGCAACAGATTATCTTACTGTACTTCCTTCTTGGGCCTTGCCTAGTAGAGCACCATATCCAGCTGAGACAATGCTGCTGCTCTTTCTGTTTGTATGCTCTGCCCCGATATTCCCACACCTTGCAACCACAATTCTTCTGGTATTTCTCAGCTTTTTTCTCAGGACAGTCTACACTGACCACCATATTACAAAGTATTCCTGTCCACTTTTTCACTTTTCTTTTTCTCTATAGTATTTATCACTATTATACTATAAAATAATCCCTCTATTTATTGTGTTTATTGTTTCTCTTCATCTCAAAAGAATGTTAGCTTCATGAGAGTAGGGATTTCACTTTTGTTTGTTTTACTCACTGATGTATTTCTAACACCCAGAACAGTACTTGGCTTATAGTTGGCAGTGGCCATTAATTGTTACTGAATTAGTGAATGATGATTTTATAAATTACCTTTCCATTTACTAATGCACTAAAAACATATTTTGAGGCCTATAAACATAGATACAGATAGTTTATATTTACATGTTGCATAGTATTATATTGTATGGACATTTCACTACTTATGCTCTAAATTATCAGGCAATTTACACTGAATGTAATCTTGCATGTGGCCAACATTCTTAATAGTAAAAATAACTACCATGCCAGCTGGGGATGTAGCTTAGTGGCACCGCACCTGCCTCGCAAGCACAAGGTCCTGAGTTTGATTCCCTGGTACCAAAAAATAAATAAATAAATAACTACCATGACTTGAGTACTTGATACATGCCTTTTCCAAGACTTGTTTGCCTCATGTTTGTCACTTCCAAGATGTTTCGTATATGTCCACTACATTTTATTTGTGCATTTTACCTATTAGAGGGGTTTTTTTTAACTTTTTGTCTTTCTGATTGTTTTCGGTCTTGTATGCTAATTTATTTTAAGTTAATATTGTCAATGCAGTTTTGTTTTTGTTTTCAATTACCTAAAAGCTCTGTTGTTTTCAGCCTCTCTTGATAATTTGGTTTTAAATGTGTCTATATCAACAGCATAATAGTTCCATCGTCATTTTAAATGGATTGGATACTTCTACTCCATTCAAAAGTGATTATAACTTTACAAAGTATTTTGTTCCTTTTAAATGCTATTAGGATTTTTTCAGTTTTGAAAGTAATACATATTGGTTGTAAATCATAGATGTGTGCATGTGCACAAAGTTACTGTTCAAGTACAGAGCTCAAAATTTTCTCTCCACTCCATCTCTATAACCATAATTTCAGTCCCCGGAAGTATTTTACTATATAAACTACCAGAATCACTCCCATGCATATATGAACATGTACGTGCACAAGTGTAAAATATGCACATAAAATTTTAGAGATTATATTTTATATATATAATTTAGCTTATATCACTTATAAGAGCTACCTTCTTTCTTCTATATGCTACATTGTACTTCATCATAGTCATGTATTTTAGCATTTTAAACCAGTCTCATAGATAATCAGCTATATTGTTAATCATTTTCAATTACTTCAAATAAATTTCTCTCCTACTAACATTTCTGCATTAGGGAATTCCAAATACATTAATGGAGCATGTGGAGAGTAACAATTTAAGAATGGCTGCTCTACTTTTTAAATTTTCTTCCTCTTTTCTTGGCTTATAACTCATGGCTAGGGGCTTCATAGAAGAAATATGAATGGGAATTCTGCCCAGGGAATCATTCCCTTCTGAGAATATGTGAAATTCAGTGAGAGTATACATTTGTAAGAATTAATTTTTGGAATTGGACTAAGCATTCTGATATATAAACATCTTTTGATTTTCAGATCGCTGCTTCTCTTTTTGCTGCAAATATTGGCAGTAGCCACTTTATTGGCCTGGCAGGGATAGGAGCATCTTCGGGAATTGCTGTTGGGGCCTTCGAATGGAATGTAAGTAATAAGTTGCAGCAACTAACCCCTCCATCTTTATCATTGTCCAAATACAATTCACAAACATAAAACTTGCTTTAAACCTTGACTATTAAAGACATCTTGAGAAAAGACCCAAGTCTTTGATTTTTCAAAAGGTGTGTGCTTTTTATTCTTTTTAGTAAATGAAAAGACAGAGGATTTACATTCTACAGCCTTTAGGAATACAGTAAACAAGGAACTGTTAGGAGATTAGCCAGGTAGGAAAAAGACAATATTAACATTTCAATATGTATCTATGAATATGGCTATGCATATACAGATATAGGTATATACGTGTACATGTATGTATACATACATGTGTATATATACATAAGGATACGTATACACACATATTTGTATGTTTTGGTTTTTGTTGTACATACTGAGAATTAGTTCAAATGAGCCCTTTGAGATATTTAACTAGTTACTATGGTCTCCTAATTAATTTCTCAGGAATACCAGTTTCAACCATAAACCGTATAAAATACTGAATTATTTAATTCATGGAAAATTTTTGTGCAGGAAATAAAACTTATTCACCCAAATTATAAAAGAATGTATTAATTTGGGGATATTAACCTATCTCTATATAAATTATTGGGGGGGTGTGAGCAGAAAGCTCTATTCTTTTGGAGTCTCATAATTTTTCTTATAGACTACAAATAATAAAGAATAATTCTACATAATAAAAACCTAATAAGAAACCCTATTCTTTACTACCATTTATCTCTCAGAATCCTCAAATATCTCCTTTCTTCAAACTCAACTCCTCCCTGCTTTGTACAGAAACCCAGAACCACTGGGTATGGTGGCAAACACCTAAAATCCTAGCAATTAGAAGGCTGAGTCAGGAGAATCACCATGAGTTTGAGGCCAGCCTGGGTTACATAGTGAGTTCAAGGCCAGCCTAAACTACAAAGCAAGGCCCTGTCTCAAAAAAGAAAGCCAGAGCCAAGTTTGTTACTTAATTTCAATTGTATGAAATTTTGATGTAGTTTACCTCCCTTTCCCCAGAATGGCTTCAAGTTTTTCTTTTCTTTCTTAAAACTATCTTTTAAATTTATTTATATGCCACCTTTATTCCTCCCTGAGAGTAAACAAAGAATAAATTCCCCCAATTTTTTTTGAAGTACTAGGGATTGAACCCAGAGCTGCTGTACCACTGAGCTACATCCCCGGGCCTTTACACCTTTAATTTGAGACAGGATCTTATTAAGTTACCCAGGCAGTACTGAAACTTGAGCTCTTCCTGCCTTAGCCTCCCTCAATGCTGGGACTACAGGCATGCACCACTGCACCTAGTTTAAGAATCTTTTAAAGGCAAAGATCATGTGCCTCAAAGTCGAATTATTTGTGCTCAAAAAGTCTCTAGTAATCAAGGAAGTAGATTCTGTATAAATAAGAAGGGGATCTGGGAAGGAGAGAAAAGAAGGTGGGGTGGGGAGCAAAAAATGATTAAGATGTGATAAGTATCAAACCCCCAAACTGAATGTAATCACTATGTATTGCAAACATACAATAAAAACATTGTATAATACCAGGAAAAGTTCCTAGTAGTTACTATCAAAACAGGTGGTAACTGAGCTTGCATCTCATTTAAGAGATTGACCTAGATGGATGCCTGATTTAATTGTTCTTTTTGGTTTCAGACTATATTTATGCTCTTTATTCTTGGTTGGATATTTGTTCCTATTTACAATAAAGCTGGGGTAAGTGTCAATTATCAATTAACCCTATTGTCGACAATATTTTTTCTTACAAATACTGCATGTGTACTAGAAATGCCTTAGAGAACAAATTAAGCGTCTCATTGTTTTGTTCCTTACTGAGTTTCCTAAAATGCCTATAATACATTATTCTGTCTTGGCATAAACAGAGTCTGGTATATAGCACACCAATAACTGTCTACTTACTCACGAGTTTACTTCTTAAGGCTTTCATAGAAAACATTTTAAATTCTTTTAAAAAAAAAAGACCTAAATAAATGAAGGGAAAACTGTAAATGATTGAAAGCCTTGATATCCTAAAAATTAGTTCTCCCTAGTAGGACTATGCATGGAATATTGTAATTGCAAACAAAACTCAAAAAGGGTTTGTTTTTTTTTTTTTCTTGTTTTTGATTTTATTTTTTGAGACAAGATCTTACTCTGTAGTTCAGTCTGGCCTTGAACTCGCTATGTAGCCATGTTGGTCTCAAACTCACAGTAATCCTTTTGCCTCAGCTGCCCAAATGCTGAGATTATAGGCATGTGCCACCATGCCAGGCTCAAATAGACTCAATTAACCTCCCCCAATTTTAAGAAACAAACTGATTCTAAAATATATGTAGAATATCTAAAATATTCTTATACTTTATAAGAACCCTACACTTTGCCATTCTTATAGCAAAAATGCTGCTATCAAAAAGATAGGCTTGCTGTACCTAATATCAAGACTTACTAGAAAGCTATAATAATTCATACAATATAGTATTAACATAGCATAAAAACACTGCCATGATTTAGATAAGTAATTCCCAGAAGCCTATGTGACTCAGTCATCAGCCCATAGCACTATCTCCCAGTGGAAATGAAGAAACATGAATGGGCATTCTGCCCAAGGAATTCTCCCCTTTTATTCTCCTAATAGCACTGTGGGCTGGTGACCAGGCCCTTCACACATGGGCTTTTGGGGAACATTTAAGAGGTAGGGCTTAAACCAGCTGTGGTGGTACATGTCTATAATCCCAGCCCTCTGGGAGGCTGAGGCAGGAGGATTAAAAATTCAAGCCCAGCCTGGGCAATTTAGTGATTTGTTGATACTCTGTCTCAAAAAAGGAGAGAGGATGCATGATGGCACATGCATATAATTCCAGCACTTGAGAAGCTAAGGCAGGAAGATTGCTACTAGTTTGAGGCCAGCCTAGACTACATAGTGAGTTCAAGGCCACCCTGAACTACATAGTGAGACCCTGACTCCCCCCCTCCCTAAAAAAAAGGTAGAAGAGTTGAGGATGTAGCAAGATGTGAAGAACTTGGTTCAATTTTGTACCACTAAAATAGAAGAAAAAAAGAAAAGATGAGGCTTAGTGAGAAACCTTCTGGTCACTGGGAGCATGTCCTCAAGGAAGAATATTAGGATCTTGGTTTCTTCTTCCTCTTTCATTTCCAGCCATGAGATGAGCTTTCTCCACCACATGCTCCACTATAATGTACTGTGCTACCACAGGCCCAAAGTAATGAAGCCAACTGGTCATGGATTGAAACCTCTGAAAGTGTGGTACAAAATAAGTCTTTCCTCTTTTCAAGTTTATTTGTCCCTTGTATTTGTGGAAAAGCTGGATAACCTACATGATGATGAGTAGAAGAGGGCAAAAGCCCAGAAATAGTCATACATAGACACTTGCCTTATAACAATGATGGCATTGCAAATCACTGAGGAAAGGAGGGTCAGGAGATTTAAAATGATAAAGTAAAGACCAGCAGTGAAATACAGCCTATCCAGAACCTGGAATTGAGACAACTGGATTAAAAAACAAAAACAAAAAAAACCTTGGTGAAGAAAAAAAGAGAAATGGATATCTGGGAATTGGGAGAGAGCTGACAGGAAAACTAAAAACTACAGACCAGCTGGAGAAACTGAGTATAATGCATAGAAAAGAACAAAGCAGGCTGAAAAACTGCACCTGGCTACTGACAAAGGAGACCTGTCTCCACTAACACAAGGTTAAGTCCAGAGAGAGTCAACAGCTCCAGGGAGAAACTAGCAAACCAGGCCAGCAGTGTAAATCCCCAAAAGGCCCATGATTATTATAAATTGCAAAGACAGGATGGAGTTTTATCCTGAAATTGACTTCTGCATGGCAAGCTAGAGTTGGAGAACTCCGGTACAACACTGATCATATTTGAGAGTGTTTAATCAGGAGCTGTTTGGAAAGAGGTTAACTGCTTAAGACTAAGCCACAGAACAAATACAGAACAACTCCACTTCAGGGCTTCTAGGGGTCACCCTACCACAGTGACTGGGTGAGAGATGGCCACAAGAGACAGTCACAGATGGAATGCAGGCTACACATAGACCCCTTGAAAAGTTTAAGCTCAGGCTGAGAAGGACACAGTAGTACCACCCCCTAAATTGAAAAGCCAGGCTGATCATGAATAGCTTCCAGAGGGGGCTCAATCTGAAAGTGTTGCCATTAAGTCTGGTATATAACTTGATGTCCTGCCCCACTGCCTACATCCAGCACAGAGTTCAGTGGTTCGATTGCTCCCCCATATACCAACATGATCAAGGATATGCTTGAGCATCAATGGATGCCATAGCTTGAGGTGAAAGGTCAGAGTGGCCTCTGGAGCAGGGGTCCACCTCACAAACTCACATGAATGGGGAAAGCCATCACTTGGGGTACCTGAAAAGGTATGGAAACTGGGAGTAGCTGGAGTGAATACAATCCTAGGGTGGACACCATTGGCTACCGGTGCCCTGCACAAAAAGATTCAGCGTTCACACACAACTTAGTGTGGAAACAAATTAGGTCTTAGTAGTGATTCATGATACCTCCCCCATATATGATGGAATGAATACTGCAGGCCCTGGAAAGAAACTACTCATCCAAAAACACAGAAGAATTCTTTGGACTCATTTCTATTTTTCTTCATGGAGGGGAGAGGGCTTCTTCTTCCTTTTTTCTTTTTTCTTTATTTTTCTCTCTCCTTTTTCCTTTTTCTTGTATGTTCTTTCCTGTTACTTTTATCTAATTCTACTAATTTCTTTTACTCCATAATAAGATCCCTTATCTCACTTCTCTTTCCTCCTTCTCATTTTCCTTCCCTTTATTTTTCAATTTTCATTTATTTCATTTTCCCCTTCCCCACCCCCTCCATATTTATTACTATTATTTATTAATATTTAGATATTTACATTATATTATATTAATTTATAGTTGGTAGAAAATGCAACTCAATTGTCTTTATTGGTGCAGATCTAAAGTTACATTGGCTTACAGGAATCACAGGGATTTGTCACGAAGCTCTTTAAGGCAGCCTTCACATCCTTGTTGCGCAGGCTGTAGATCATGGGGTTCAGCATGGGGATCACCAGTGTGTAAAACACTGAAGCCATTTTATCAGTGTCCAGGGAGTGGTTGGTCCCGGGCTGTAAGTACATGAACAGCAACGTCCCGTAGAAAACC